CAAAAAGCTTATTGAGTGGGGATTGCCAAGTCATTTGCTGATTTTTGCACCTGCTTCAGCTTGGTCATTACTCAACATAACATGTCTGTCTCCATCCTCTTTGTCTGCACTGCTACACATGTGCCGTGACCCAGGGTACAAAAAGCTTATTTAGTGGGAATTGCCAAGTCATTTGCTGATTTTTGCACCTGCTTCAGCTAGGTCGCTACTCCACGTAACATGTCTGTCTCCATCTTCTTTGTCTGCACTGCTACACATGTGCCGTGACGCAGGGTACAAAAAGCTTATTTAGTGGGAATTGCCAAGTCATTTGCTGATTTTTGCACCTGCTTCAGCTTGGCCATTACTCCACAGAACATGTCTGTCTCCATCCTCTTTGTCTGCACTGCTACACATGTGCCGTGACGCAGGGTACAAAAAGCTTATTTAGTGGGAATTGCCAAGTCATTTGCTGATTTTTGCACCTGCTTCAGCTTGGTCATTACTCCACATAACATGCCTGTCTCCATCCTCTTTGTCTGCACTGCTACACATGTGTCGTGACGCACTGGTAGGACAAAAGTTGCGCTTGTTGAGCTTCCCACAGTGAACATGGTTGGTTTCTTCTTCTGCACACCCTTTCCCCGTAGAATCCTAGCATGGAGCTTTGTCGTACCCCGGTCGCATTCCCACCCTCCAAAAGCTTTAAAATCTTATATGTTTAAAAGAGGGTGATAATTGACCGTCCCACACCTGCCACACAAAACGGACTTGAAAATGCGATCCGCGGTTGACCGACATGGATGTCTTGTAAAGCTTTCAAAAAGCATAAACTTTGTTCCTCCTGAGGGGTACGAAAAGCTTATTTAGTGGGAATTGCCACGTCATTTGCTGATTTTTGCACCTGCTTCAGCTTGGTCATTACTCCACATAGCATGTCTGTCTCCATCCTCTTTGTCTGCACTGCTACACATGTGCCGTGACGCAGGGTACAAAAAGCTTATTGAGTGGGGATTGCCAAGTCATTTGCTGATTTTTGCACCTGCTTCAGCTTGGTCATTACTCCACATAACATGCCTGTCTCCATCCTCTTTGTCTGCACTGCTACACATGTGCCGTGACGCACTGGTAGGACAAAAGTTGCGCTTGTTGAGCTTCCCACAGTGAACATGGTTGGTTTCTTCTTCTGCACACCCTTTCCCCGTAGAATCCTAGCATGGAGCTTTGTCGTACCCCGGTCGCATTCCCACCCTCCAAAAGCTTTAAAATCTTATATATTTAAAAGAGGGTGATAATTGACCGTCCCACACCTGCCACACAAAACGGACTTGAAAATGTGATCCGCGGTTGACCGAAATGGATGTTTTGTAAAGCTTTCAAGAAGCATAAACTTTGTTCCTCCTGAAGTATGGCCTATATGGCTTTAATTTCTAGAGTCAAGCGGAATTTGAAGAGGTCCATTATTTCACAGCACATCACAGCACATAATGTACATTTACATGTAATTGAGACGAATGAGATCAGCAAAGGCAAAAGATACATTGCACATCATTGCATCCCTGTTGCTGCATCAGACACGGTGAAGGATGATTCGCTGTAGCTTTCTTTCATGGAAGGCAATGGAAGGCCAGCGGAACCCAAAATTTGCTCAGGATATTTTTTGCATGCACTCCATTGACTGCGAAGGAGTAGATGGCAGCAACACAGCGGCAGCTTCTTTTGTGGAAAGAAGTTACACAGTGTGGCAAGCAGTGGTAAATATGAGAAACAGCAACAATTTGAATCAATTTGACATAAGTACACGTGCGATTGTTTCAGAGAGTCTGGACTTAGCCTGGACTGTTAGGTCATCCATGTATCGTAAGTCCTACTCTTGGACTGGTCTCTTGTCAATGCGAACCACGACAAGATACTCTTCATAGCTACGATACCTAAGGCAAGTGGCGCACAAAGAAACCACTTGAACTTCAAAATCTTCAAGGAAGCACTGCCAAGCAATGCTGCGACGCGAATTTGTGCGCCGCTCGGCAACAATCTAATCATGCCTCAACATCCTGCACTATGTCTTGATTTCACCAACCTCTGTTATATCTTCAGAGAACCACTGATTACGGGAGCCACGGGAGTGTGGGTTGCCAGTTAAGGCATGACTCTGTTTTTCCGTTGCGCCTCAGGAAGCATACACCTGCAGTACTGATGTTGATGGAGATGGAGATGGGACAAAGTGGTACAAGAAGGCAGGGCGGTTCAGCTTTCCGTCGCCTCAGAATACCTGTCAATCCATGTCAATCCATATCAATCCGTTGGGCAAAGCTAGGAGTGACCCAAAGGCTGAACATGCATAGGCTGCATAGGCTCTTTCGTTGGCAGATTTGCAAAGCTGAGCTGAGGTAGACACCAACGCGCATAAGTACCAGGGCCAAAGCGACGAGGAATGTTGCTTTCCCAAGTTCCCAACTTGCAAGAAGTTTCACAAGTTGGACAAGTTGGAGTGTAAAAAAAGTGTAGACAAAACAGTTTGTATAGAGTTAGTTAGGCTTGACAAAAGTAGCTGCTTCAGTCTGCCACTAAGGTACTGCAGCTTGTATACCACAAAGTTACCGTCCAGCAAATGGTTAGAGACTCAGAGTCCAGGCATGCTGGAGCTGAGTTTCCTTCATCATTTCCTAAAGGTTCGATGCGCCTTGATGGCTTTGCTTCACGTTCAAATGGTTGTTTTAAAGTTTCTAGAACTGACCTGAGGAAGCGGAATTCCACAGTTGGACTTCTTGGCAGCACAGACGGTGAATGCTATGTGGAACGAAGGCAGGGGCACCTACTGGCTGTAAGGGCCCTAAGAGCACCAAGGTGCTCATCTGAGCTGTCGATGTGACTTTGACCTACTTTGACTTGTTCCCCACATTGACGTGTGGGGTTTTTGTTTTTAGTTCTGTATCCGCCCGTCTCCTCCTCCTCCCGTCCTCCTCCTCACTCAGTCACTGACTCACTCACTCTCTCACTCACTCACTCACTCACTAGGATGTACGCCCTGGCGTCCCTTGGGCTCCGCCTCTTTTGCGTGGCAGGCACTCTCACACTCACTCAAGCACTCACTCACACCCACTCACACAATGCAGCTTTTGCGTGGCAGGCGTGGGACAATGTGCATTGCCACGGGGTCGGATGTACGCCCTGGCGTCCCTTGGGCTCCGCCTCTTTTGCGTGGCAGGCCTGGGACAATGTGCATTGCCAAGGGGTTGGGTGTACGCCCTGGCGTCCCTTGGGACAATGTGCATGGCCAAGGGGTTGGATGTACGCCCTGGGGTGGCAGGCGTGGGACAATGTGCAGCATTGCCAAGGGGTCGGATGTACGCCCTGGCGTTGCTTGGGCTCCGCCTCACTCACTCACTCACTCCCTCTACTCACTCCCTCTACTCACTCCCTCACTCACGCACTCACTCACTTTCACATCTCTCACGCACACACACCACACTCACATCACTCACTCACATTCTCATTGACTCACCTGTGCATGCACATACATACACACACACACTTGCTCAGAAATAGCTTATCGAATAATTGATGTGGAACGCATCGAACGTGCAACAACACCCTATTTAAACCCGACGAGAGAAATTGGTTGACCAGGCGTGAGAGCCTGTGCGAAGAAAATCTTTCAGTGTCCTTGCAAAAGTATCAAAATGTTCTGATGCAGCTCAGTCTTCCTTTGTTGACCGTAACTAGTTTCAGATTGCGACAACAGTACAGAAAAGAAATGAAAATCGAATCGACATGCCGGTTCTAGGCTTAGCCGGTTGCCATGCCCAAGGAAATGAACATGGCAAAATGGAATTGGAAAAGCAGGTACGTCGATCCAGCGTCCCGGATCGATATCACAGAATGTCATAGCCGTCTTCGTTGGCTGCAGAACTGTGACATTCCCTGCGGCCCCCTGCTGAAATTCAAATTAGAAACCTTTGCTGAAATTCAGGTTGAAAACCAAACTAAGATTAGAACCTCAGGCGAAAGACGAGTCAAGTGCAAGTTAGAAGTTTTACATCTCTTCAGATGTTTCACACACACACCCTCCCGCAGGAGGGTGGAAAATTAAGGCCCCGACCATGAAATGATAATGAAAAAGAGAGGAAATGAAAATGAGATGAAAATGAAAATAAAATGAGATGAAAAATTACTTAACCAGGACGTGAAGAGGGGAACGCAAAAGAAGAGGGAAGGAGAAAACACCAACACATGAAACCTAGCCCAAAACGGGCAACCCTGAAAAGGCAAGGGAAAAGAAAAGCGGAGGCAGACGGACACGGGACAAGACCAGCGGAGGGGGGAAAAGGACGGACGCGCCTGAACCAACCTACCACAGCGAAACCTACACCTACCTAAGCCCTAAGCCCGCGCAGAACACAACCTACCTTGTAGAGAGGAGAACGCAAGAACACATGAGATAAGGGACCCATAGGGGACTAGCTGATGAAGATGCATCCACATTAGCATGCAGATTCCCCTCGTTGAGGCTCAATGGCCAGAGTTCAGATCAACCCTATAGACAGCTGAAGTAGTCAACCCCTGAGTTACGTGCACAATTGAACCTCACCAACGACCAAAAAAGAAGAGTCACCATACCTGCAAGCATGGCCTGTGCCTGGAATCCTCATGTTGCAATTGTCATCTGCTGAAAATGCTCGAGCAATGTTGAAAAAAGAAGGTTGTCGCGGCTGCAGACTACCAGTGACAGGGAGGCAGATCATCTGAAAGAATTGAAGCCAAACGGCGGCCAGTTGTTCAACACTCACTCGACCGACTTGTGAAACTTCGAAAGAAGGCCATCTGTTTCACTTTACTTAGACGAATTACCAATTCAAAAGTGTAAATTCAGAGAGCGTTTCAACGTGTCAATCTTTAGCCTGGAAAGGCTTTCCCCGAGGGGTTCATACCACCTTGACGAATCCGGTATGAAGTGCACACTTGCTCAGAAATAGCTTATCGAATTATTGATGTGGAATGCATCGAACGTGCAACAACACCCTTTTCAAACCCGACGAGAGAAATTGGTTGACCAGGCGTGAGAGCCTGTGCGAAGAAAATCTTTCAGTGTCCTTGCAAAAGTATCAAAATGTTCTGATGCAGCTCAGTCTTCCTTTGTTGACCGTAACTAGTTTCAGATTGCGACAACAGTACAGAAAAGAAATGAAAATCGAATCGACATGCCGGTTCTAGGCTTAGCCGGTTGCCATGCCCAAGGACATGAACATGGCAAAATGGAATTGGAAAAGCAGGTACGTCGATCCAGCGTCCCGGATCGATATCACAGAATGTCATAGCCGTCTTCGTTGGCTGCAGAACTGTGACATTCCCTGCAGCCCCCTGCTGAAATTCAAATTAGAAACCTTTGCTGAAATTCAGGTTGAAAACCAAACTAAGATTAGAACCTCAGGCGAAAGACGAGTCCAGTGCAAGTTAGAAGTTTTACATCTCTTCAGATGTTTCACACACTAGACAAGAATGGATCATTATATGATCCGGCAGGAACTGAGTCCTGTAACATGCAGATTAGATTAGTTACTTAGATATGGATGAAATATATATATATATATATATCGGACTATGGTGATCACCGGCTGCGTCTTACAATTGCGCCCAGGTGCGTCACCACAGTCCCGCGGGTACGTTTACACGGGTCCCCGGGAGGTGTCTTCGTTGGTCACCGACCTCCCAGGGACCCCGGTGACCCCCCGCATATAGAAATATAAAGTATAAGAAGTTTTACGTCTATTCAGACGATACACACACACACACACACCCTGCCTCCGGCAGGGTGGTGCGCGTAAACATGAGATGAAGATGAGGATGAACAGGGGATGAAAGATGAGATGAGAGTGAAAATGAGATGAAAGTTACTTAACCAGGACGCGAAGAGGGGAACGCAAAAGAAGAGGGAAGGAGAAAACACACACCAACACACCTAGCCCGGAACGGGCGAACCCTGAAAAGGCAAGGGAAAAGAAAAAGCGGAGGGTCGACGGACACGGACCAAGACCAACGGAGGGGGGGGAAGACGGAAGCGCCTGAACCAACCTGACACAGCGAAAACCTACAAAAACTTCAGCACGCGACGGAGCCAACCTACCTGGGGAGGGAAGAAAGCATGAGATAGGGGACCAATGGGGAACTAGTTGATGAAAACAAAACCAAACAACAAACAGGATTCAGTTCCTAGACCTAGAGTTCGTGCGATTGTGCCACAACAGGCCCGTGTTCCAGTCAGCCACAAGGGCATAAAACAGCTTTCAGGTTCCAACGAATTAGGTGCACAACATGTTTCACCTCATCAAATACCAAAGAGACCACACCTGCAGGAAGAGGACATGCCTGTTGCCTGTTGTCATGCATGTCATGTCTCATCACAAACGCTGAAGCTGCAGTAAAAACGGAGGTTTCTGAATGTTCGGCACAGCTGCACATGAAAGAACAGATCACTGGGGTCCCTGGGACTGCAGGTGCAGCGGGACGCTCAAAAGGCTGAACAACCGCAAGGCCAACTGTTGCACTTTACTTAAATGAATTACCAACTTAAAATGTGTTAATTGGGAAGTCAGGACAGTCATCATTCACCCTGAAAAGGGTTGCCTCCAATGGCTCCATGGCACCATGTCGGAGCCACCATGGAAATCACACTAGACAAGAATGGATCATTATATGATCCGGCAGGAACTGAGTCCTGCAACATGCAGATTAGATTAGTTACTTAGATATGGATGAAATATATATATATATATATGGGACTATGGTGACCACCAGCTGCGTCTTACAATTGCGCCCAGGTGCGTCACCACAGTCCTGCGGGTACGTTTACACGGGTCCCCGGGAGGTGTCTTCGTTGGTCACCGACCTCCCAGGGACCCCGGTGACCCCCGCATATAGAAATATAAAGTATAAGAAGTTTTACGTCTATTCAGACGATACACACACACACACACAAAAAAAAAAACTCACCCACCATCACCCCTCCATCACTCTCACACTTCCTTTTCCCTTGTTGCTTTTCTGTGCTCAGTCTAAGTCTAGAGAAGTTGGTAACATGTGGGGTTATCCGGTCCTATAATTTTCTTTTGGTTGTTCCACACATTGACGTGTGGGGTTTTTGTTTTTAGTTCTGAGTCCGCCTTCCTCCTCCGCCTCCCGTCCTCCTCTCTCACTCACCCACTCACTCACTCTCACTCACTCACTCACTCACCTCACTCACTCACTCACTCACTACCTTACTCACTCAATCACTGACTCACTCACTCACACACTCACTCACTCACTCAATCACTCACACACATCATGGCCGGCGTCAGACAATGTGCACTGTCAAGGGGTCGGATGTACGCCCCGGGGTTCCGCTGGCGTCCCTGGGTCTCCGCCTCTTTTGCGTGGCAGGCGTGCGACAATGTGCACTGTCAAGGGGTCGGATGTACGCCCCGGCGCTCTCCTGGCGTCCCTGGGTCTCCGCCTCTTTTGCGTGGCAGGCGTGGGACAATGTGCACTGCCAAGGGGTCGGATGTACGCCCCAGGGTTCCGCTGGCGTCCCTGCTCTCCGCCTCTTTTGCGTGGCAGGCGTGCGACAATGTGCACTGTCAAGGTGGCGGATGTACGCCCCGGGGTTCCGCTGGCGTCCCTGGGTCTCCGCCTCTTTTGCGTGGCAGGCGTGGGACAATGTGCACTGCCAAGGGGTCGGATGTACGCCCCAGGGTTCCGCTGGCGTCCCTGCTCTCCGCCTCTTTTGCGTGGCAGGCGTGCGACAATGTGCACTGTCAAGGGGTCGGATGTACGCCCCGGGGTTCCGCTGGCGTCCCTGGGTCTCCGCCTCTTTTGTGTGGCAGGCGTGGGACAATGTGCACTGTCAAGGGCTCGGATGTACGCCCCTGGGTCTCTGCCTCTTTTGCGTGGCAGGCGTGAGACAATGTGCACTGTCAAGGGGTCGGATGTACGCCCCGGGGTTCCGCTGGCGTCCCTGGGTCTCCGCTTCTTTTGCGTGCAGGCGTGGGACAATGTGCACTCACTCACTCACTCACCCACTCACTCATTCACTCACTCACTCATACTCTCATTCACTCACCTGTACATGCACATACATACACAGACACCCTCCCCACCATCACCCCTCCATCACCCCTCATCACTCACCCATCATCACCCTTCCATCACTCTTATCCTTCCTCTTCCCTTCTTGCTTTTCTATGCTCAGTCTAAGTCTAGAGAAGTTGGTAACATGTGGGGTTATCCGGTCCTATAATTTAGTTTTTGTATTGGACGTGCATTTCATTTGTTCAGTTCCCCCCTGATAGGTGTGTGGATGAAGTCAATTGTCATGCCTTGGGCATTGCAGTGAATGTCACTGATGAAGACCGGCTTGGCAGCACGAAAGACGAGTGCTGCTGGTAGGCGCATGGACAAACAATGCATCAAGAGCCACATCTTTCCCGTGAAAACTTAAGTCAAGTCAAAGAAGTAGTTCGCGCGGCATTGGATTTGACGGTTTCATAGAAACACATTCGGCAGTCTTACCCATGCATGGTTTCAGCAACTCGCATGATGGCAGGGAATAAACACTGCCAAGAGGTAGTCGAAGCAACAACAATTGCTTACAGCAATTTCTTGTAGTTTCGTATGCCACAAATTGTTGACGGCGGGGAAATGCGTCCGGAACCCCATATCATAGACAAGCAATACATACCACCCATACACTCACATTAATTTTTATCAAGCAAGCATCACTCAGCACCTGTGCTACTCCGCTTTTGGACGACCATAGGCCCAACACAGTGGAAACACGAAGGCCGTTGAAAACCGGGTATTTCCCGGCTTGAACCCACTTGCAGCACTCATTAGATCCAAGTCAAAATGGTGATCCTCACCTCGTTGGCCTTGTACCATGCATTTCGGTTCGAGCAATCAAGTGCTTGAGGTCAAAAAGTGGATTCGCCTGAGTGGATGCTGCTCACATGCTAGCAGCGGAAGCAAATCTCGAAAGGTAGCGGCAAGCCACCTGAGTTCCCCCTTGCATAGCAAGTATTGGGGTGGGAGCAGTGCAATTGCATGAGTTTGGGCCCGTTCTGTATTGCTTTGCCTTTAAAGGGGAGGGCCCTCATTCGATTCCCCCCAGGTCTATTTGCTGAGCAGCATGCAGATGTCTTCTCAAGACCTTCAACGTAAACCCACGATGTAAAGTAATGACTAAAGTGGTTGCTAGACCATTTTGTAAGCAGAGCTTGGGTGTTAAACCGTGTTGTAAGTAGAACTTGCTTGCCAACTATGTTGTAACGAGAGCCTAGTTGCCAGACAGTTTTCTGCGAAGAGCTTGGGTATGCTTGGGTGCTAAACCGTTTTGTACGTAGAATTTGGTTGCCAGAGAATGCCAGAGAGTTTTTTTGTAACTCGAGCCTGGTTGCCAAACCGTTTTGTAAGGCAGGAAGAATCCGAAGACTAAAATGAACAGTACCCTTCACCTTCTGAAGCTTGAAGGGGGGCTTCAAGGGCGGCTTGAGAAGGGCTTGAAGGGGGCTTGAGAAGGGCTTGAAGGGGGCTTGAGAAGGGCTTGAGAAGGGCTTGCAAGGAGGCTTGAAGGTGAAGGCTTCGAAGGGGGCTTGAGAAGGGCTTGAGAAGGGCTTGAGAAGGGCTTGAAGGGGGCTTGAGAAGGGCTTGAAAGAGCTTGAAGGTGAAGGCTTCGAAGGGGGCTTGAAGGGGGCTTGAGAAGGGGTTGAGAATGGCTTGAGAAGGGCTTGAAGGGGGCGTGATGGGGGCTTGTCAAAGCGCTTCCAGGCAGATGGTTGTTGTTGTTGTTGTTGTTGTTGTTGCTGCTGCTGTTGTTGTTGTTCCCCACATCACTGTGTGGGGTTCTTGTTTTTCGCTTGGATCCCGCGAGGGCTCCGCTCCGCCTCCGCCCCCTCCTCCTCCGCCGCCTCCTCCTCACTCACATCTCACCCTCACTCATCATGCCTCCCTCATCACTCACTCCCTCACTCATCACTTATCACCTCTCACACTCATCACTCACTCACTCACTCACTCATTCACTCACTGTACAGATAGCTTCCTGGCTGCCTTTGGCGTGGCAGGCGCAGTACAGAGAGCTTCCTGGCTGCCTTTGGCGTGGCAGGCGCAGTACACAGAGCCTGCTGGAGGAGCTGCGGCGCGGGTGGGCCGCTGGCCCGCGGCTGGCTTTCGCGTGGCAGGCGCAGTACAGAGAGCTGTACACAGAGCCTCCTGGAGGAGCTGCGGCGCGCGTGGGCGCCTCTGGCCCGCGGCTGGCTGTCGCGTCGCACGCAGTACAGATAGCTTCCTGGCTGCCTTTGGCGTGGCAGGCGCAGTACACAGAGCCTGCTGGAGGAGGTGCGGCGCGCGTGGGCGCCGCTGGCCCGCGGCTGGCCTTTGCCTGCAGGCGCAGTACACAGAGCTTCCGCATTTCCTTTTTGCGAGGCAGGTGCAGTGCGCAGAGTCTCCTGGAGGAGCTGCGGCGCGCATGGGCGCCGCTGGCCCGCGGCTGGCTTTCGCGTGGCAGGCGCAGTACAGAGAGCTTCCTGGCTGCCTTTCGAGTACAGATAGCTTCCTGGCTGCCTTTCGCGTGGCAGGCGCAGGACACAGCTCCACTGCTCATCACAACTCATCACAGCTCCACTTCTGACAGGTCCACTTCTCATCACAACTTATCACATCCCAACTCATCACAGTTCCACTTCTCACACCTCACTTCTCACAGCTCACTTATCACATCACAACTTCTCATCACAACTCATCACAACTTATCACATCACAGCTCCACTTCTCACACCACTTATCACATCAGAACTCATCACAGCTCCACTTCTCACACCTGACATCACAAGTCCACTCCTCACACCTCACTTCTCACACTTCCCCGAAGTTCACATTAAACTTAGATACATAAAGGCTTGACATGTGGGGTTATCCGGTCCTTTTGTTGTTGTTGTTGTTGTTGTTTGTTGTTGTTTGTTGTTGTTTGTTGTTGTTGTTGTTGTTGTTGTTGGTTGTTTGTTGTTTGTTGTTTGTTGTTTGTTGTTGTTGTTGTTTGTTGTTGTTTGTTGTTGTTGTTGTTGTTGTTGTTTTTGTTTGTTGTTGTTGTTGTTTGTTGTTGTTGTTGTTGTTTGTTGTTGTTGTTGTTGGAGTTCGACATAGCTCAACATGACCCTAAGATAGCCCCAACATAGCCCCACACCCTGTTTGGGATGGGGGCAGTTTTGTAGGCACCGCGCCTTCTTATGGTGGGTGGTCAGCGCCCGCACCGTCTTCTGGTGGTTGGTCGGAGTTCGACATAGCTTAACATGTCCCTAAGATAGCCGAACACCGCCCCTCCTTATGGTGGATGGTCAGGGCCCACACCGTCTTATGGTGGTTGGTCGGGGTTCGACATAGCTTAACATGAGCCCGAACATAGGCCCCACACCCCGTTTGGGAGGAGCGGAAGCGCTAGATGGGGGTAGTTTTGTAGGTACGGCCCTTTCTTTTGGTGGGTGGTCAGGTCCCGCACCGTCTTCTAGTGGTTGGCCGGAGTTCGACATAGCTCAATATGACCCTAAGATAGCCCCAACATAGGCCCCACACCCCGTTTGGGAGGAGCGGAAGCGCTAGATGGGGATAGTTTTGTAGGCACCGCACCTTCTTATGGCGCCCATACCGTCTTCTGGTGGTTGGTCGGAGTTCGACATAGCTCAACATGACCTTAAGAGAGCCGAACAGAGCTTGCTTGCATGTGCAAGAGTATGTAGATCTGTGTGTCCACAAGTTCCTAAGATAGCCGAACATAGCTACAACGCGAAAGAGTGTGAAAGATCTGTGTATGATCAATTTGCCTGGGAGGCGGAAGGAGGCGGCGGAACGTGCAGCTGTCCATGTATATTCCCGGTACATTTTATTACAAAGATACTATGTTTTTGGCAGGAGAATGAAACTGTCTATCGCTGCAATCTTGGGCGACAACTCTTCTCATAGACGGTCAATGGGTCTCCAATTTTTCGGCAATTTTTTTCCATTGTCTATCTGTCCACTTGTCTTTGGCTTTTCAGCAGTCCCCGGTCGAGGGTTTTCTAATTTTTGCGCAATTTGTTGGCCATGTTCGAGTACAGTTTCCAAATCGATTGTTGTCAACACATAGACCAGATGTCTGAAGCCTTTGGCTTTCAGCAGTCCAGGGACCCAAGGACATGATGGACAGCCGTGGGCCCACGTGTCCTAACTGCCCGCATGGTCGGGCCTTGACAAGCCTTCGCACAGCTGAGCTCGGGAAGTTGCTTGGTTGCAAGACAACAAAAGCATAACGAGCAGGCCAACGCTTCAGAAATGGCCAGCTTTGCAACTCAACAAGAGCATGAACTTTTGAGTATCTATAGATTCACCCTTGAGATTGTATGTCGATTGTTCTGGTGCTGAGGAGTGGCGAAAACTGAAATGGTTCCAGAAAGGACCAACCCGTTTCTGGTGTCTGTGCGTGGAGTGTCATTATGGGCTTTGGGCGCGGATGGTCGCTGCAACAACCGTTGGTCGCGACCTCTTGCAACGGTGTGCCCGCGCCTACCAGTCGGCGAGCTGTACCTGACTCAGCCGCCCCTGGCACGAAGCGGAGAGACGCAAAAGTAGTTTGCTGCTGATACGACGCGCCTCTGTAAGTAGTCAGTATGGATTCTTCCATCAGCCTAGCAAACACCCTTAGTCAGTGTTTCCAGACAATCACGATCGCAGTTGTTCATTGCTCTGTGGGCCGAAATTTTTGTTCCACGTGTCGAAAGCAGCTGCTCCTTCAGGAGGCGGAGCCACCACGGAAGGCAAGTCGGCGTTTGCCTGGAAAGACCCGACCGGTAGTTGCAACCTTTGGCAGGGACGATTTTCCCCAAGCCAGTGGCCGCCCCGGCCCAATCCTCCTTCGAAGAGCGCAACGGCCAGACAACTCTTCCCCGCGGCCGCCGCTGCAGAGAAATTTTGTGGAGGCAGTTCAAAGCATTGGGAGCCAGCGGGTTTCCCGCTTTGGATGCCTTATGCGTGGCATGTGCGCAATGTGGGCGCGCACTCCCACGCGTGCGGTGTGTGCCGGGAAGTGGAAATCGGGCGGCATGCAGCACATGACTGTGTAGCGCTGTGAGATGGCCGAGTACGTCCAGAAGCAATGATATGGGGTAGGAAGGCTTCGTTAATTTTTTTGATTTTTACATTGGATTAGCAGCAGGTGAGATTTGTATTTGTTCATTTTTACGTGCCCTGTGTGACCACAGCTCGCTGCGCAGGACGTGCTGCTTTGTTGTGCTGGGTGCATCAATCGGTTGCATTCTGCGACGTTTGTGT